GCCGAGGGCTTGTCCTTTTCATCTCAAGTCCTCGTCATCATTCCTCTTGTGTCAGACCTTTCCCCATATTTTGTGTCAGAACGGCATGCGATATATCGCATCAATTGGTTCCATTTTTTCAGCTACTCGTCATTTTTCTCCAATTTTGAGCTCGAAATTCTGTTGTCAGGAGACTAAAGCACTCACTTACCAATTTTAACAAAGAAATTCAACGTAATAAAGGCGTGGTTTTTCAGAGAGAAAATATCGCATTCGAGTGCAGTTTCGATATCAGTATCGAATGCGATGTTTTCTCTCTGAAAAAACCACGCCTTTAATATGTTGAATTCCTTTGTTAAAATTGGTAAGTGAGTGCTTTAGTCTTCTAACAACAGAATTGCGATCTCAAAATTGGAGAAAAATGACGATGTAGCTGAAAAAATGGAGCCAATTGATGCGATATATCGCATGCCGTTCTGACACAAAATATAGCGTCCGTCGAATCACCTTCGGTGCATTTTACAAAAATAAAAACAAAAAAAAACCATAAGCTGTGTCAATGGGAAATGGTCACGTGCATTTCAATACTAACCTCAGATTTCGTTGGCACGTTGCGTCATATGAAGAATTTGCAGGTGTCTGAAATTTTGTAAATTTCATGTTTGAAATGAAACTGATAAGGGAACTGAGCACGAGCATATCCTTAGTTTCTAAACTGAACAATTATTAGAGAAAATATGACAAAACACCCTGATCTGCTGAAAAATATGTGTTTAAATGAGAAATGCCGCTAGATGACGTCACTAGGTGGCACATTTTCTCACTTTTAAATCCTCTTGTCTACAAGTTCCCATTCCAAAAAAAAATATGAAAAATAAGGGGAACTCAGCTCATTAAGCACCCTCTGATGAAACAATAACATTTCTGTGTGCAAATTCTCCATTTACGGAAAGTTACCAAAGTTGCAAAGACTGAGGAGTGTGTCCCTTTTTATCGGTGGTTTCACGATTCTTGGAATAATTTTGTCGCCGTAACAGACAACACATTTTTCGGTCATATTTTTATTACTTGTAGTAATGATAATCACTCGAATATTTTTGCATTAATCTGCACAGGGTTACGTGTTATAACGCGTTTTTCAAAGATTAATCGCTCTACTTTTCAATTTTAACATATAAATGGCTGAAAATTAGTTGACTGTTACGCTGAATTTTTACCGCGTAACAGACAGCACGTTTTCGGAATTTACATAATATTAATTGAGAAGTAGAGCAATGGATAATTAGAAAGCGTTAGAATACGCAGCCCTTTGAAGACTGATGCGAAAAACTTCGGGTGATTATCATTTCTTCTAAAAATATGACCGAAAAATGTGTTGTCTGTTACGGCGACGAACTATTCCAGTTATTGTGAAACCACCCTGATAACCATTGATTTTATTTTAATCGTGGTTTTTATTGAGTTTTATCATGTTTTTATCTTCCACTTGGCGACCTGACAACCTAACCTGGCATAAACGAGAAGATCCCTCTCGTAACAGGCTCCACGGTGTGAATCTAATTACCCGGCGAACCCGGGCGATACCATTGCTTTCAAGCGACTGGCTCGACTTCTGGTCATAAATCCCCTCCTATGCGCTCATACAATTGAATAAATGGATATTTCTCGTCTTAAACTGTCTTTAAGTACCGGTGCCACTGTATGGAATTCGATAGGTACATGAGTATTTATGCATCCAGGTTGCAAATGATGAGACACCCCCCCCCTCTTCCTCCCTCTCTTCTCCTTGCTCTTTTCCCTTTTTCGGTGCCAGTTGTACTTTCACATGCACGACTGATCGTGAGTATAACTATGGATCGTATTCGATAGTAATTCGATGTATCGTTTGGTTAAAAACAATAGACCTCGAACCAAAATTTTGGGATATATGTCAGAAAAGCTGAAAATTAGAAATTGCCTATCAATTTTACTACTTTTGGCCAATTACTATTCATACGAATCAAAAATCTACCACAAAAAACCCGTTCCGTCAGATAACTCCAGGGGCGGATTAAGGGGGTGGCCACATGGGCCGCGGTCCATGGCGGCAAATCTATAGGGGGCGGTAAATTTTGCAATTTTTTTAAATGTAGCTATAAAAAAATTCGGATTTAGAAAAAAATTATAAACGAGAAGAGGCGACAAAATCTCTTATTTTCTGAGAGTATAGTAATTTCTACTTTTGTCGTCTTTTAGTGATATAAGAGGCAGCACCTTAGTTAGTCGAGTTAAGAAAGAAACCAAACACGCAATTTGGCCTGGGACTTACCTAGAGAGAAATGATGACGAGGACTTGAGATGAAAAGGAGAAGCGGAGAAGCCCTCGCCTCGGCGCGGCGATCGGCAGGTAACAGTAGCGCCTACAAGACTGAACGAATACTTCACGCATTGCACCAAACACAGTGCGGTCATTGCGGACTGCGTGAAACGGATAGCGCCTACAAGAATGCATGAATACCTCACGCATTGCGGCAAACACAGTGCGATCAGCGTTAGACGCATAGCGCCTACAAGACTGCGTGAATACTTCACGCATTGCGTCAAACACAGTGCGGTCTGCGAGGCGCGGCGGCAGAAGTTAAAAACATTAATCTACATTTATTTTTGTTCTTTCATAATTTTTTCGTTCATTTCTTATGAATGGAAGGCCTTGTCCACACAGAGATAGGTTTACGAAACTTGACTTTCGCGCAAAGTTCCGTGAACTTTTGCTAGTAGTGTTGACAGGGCTTTCCCAAAAAATGTGTTCAACACCAGTAAACGCGTCTTATGCACCCCTCCCCCGCTGGCACGTTCATTTGATGGTTTTCATTGATGTTTCAAAACGAATGAGAGGGGGGCGGCAAAATACAGGCGGCCCATGGGCGGCAAGTAGGTAAATCCGGCCCTGGATTACTCAATTTAATTGACTTTTGAGGCTATGTTTATGTTTTGAACCAATCGATATCGATACAATCTCACCCGTTTGATATATCGATTACGATCAAATCGAAGTTTTAAAACTTTGTGACTTAAATTATTATTTTATTTTTTTTCTTTTTAAAAATGAAGTTGGACTGTTTGCCAGTCTAGAAAGAAATGGAGCTCATGTAAAAGTGGTGTGAGTATACTACTTCATCAAAGACACGCGTTGTTTTGCCACTGCTGCTCGGCACTATCAAATTTAAAAATAACATTATTTTCTAAAGAGGAATGTATGAAATTTCTGATACCAGATCTGAAAAGGTTTTTAAGGCAAAAATTTCCTTATACGTATGATTGTTATTTTTAAAAGACGCCTTGAAATTGCATTTCTGCTGCTTGAATTTCGAGAGAGATATATCTATGATTAAAAATCTTCTGTATTTTAAAATTTCAGTTTATCTTTCATTCTTAAAAAAGTGACCATAGGTTTTCCCGAAAAATTCAGCTAGAAAAAAATCCCGAAAAAAATCTCCTTCATTACTACTTGTTTTCTCCCGCATAATGTTTTGAACGTCTGCTGCGGAAAAATAATCGTCCTTGGCTTTTTTTTCACTGAGTTTTGCAGAAAACTGATTTCCAGGAGTAAACATCACATGATAAAAATCAAAACCCCAATTTCAAAAAATAAGTATTTGAGTTGGCACCTTTCATACGTAAACATTCCGTTGACCCCCTACCCCCTCATGCCGTCTTCCCAAAGTACCTTTCAGTCATTAACGGATAATCACGCAATCATAATTTTTATTCAACGTAGAAATGGAAACTTAATATTATTCGCTCAAAAAAATCAAGGGAAATAAATAAATATTTTTCTGCTAAAAAACGGAGTAAAGATCTTTTGCTCAAGACTTCAGATAAAGTCAAATAGAAGTACATTTTCTTTTTCTTTTCTTTTTTTTTTGTTTATTTGCCATCCAACAATGTTTTTACAGAATTAAAAATTACACCAAAAGAGAAAAAATAAATAAACACAAATGGTTTTCTACAAAAGGTTAATTAATCATTATTGGGTGGCTGCCGGCATAGCATTGGCAGCATCTAAGGTCTTTTTCCTGCTTTCCATGACGTTCTTTACGTATTTACACACGACCATCCAGTTGTCTTTAGAGCTTAAGAGGTTTTCCAAAAAAATTGAACATTTTCAGGTGCAAGACGAGACCTCAAAGCCAGTGATATGACGTCATGAGGGTGGTTTTTTCTTAGCAATTCGCATTTCTCACGAAAAGAAATACGAAAGAACCCAAGCTCTTGGACAGACGGGTAACCCACAAGGCAAACCAAGACGCTCGTATATTGGTCGAGCTTGGCTCCGCCCAATAACTTGTTCGTGCTCCCACGGATGGCAGAGGCACATTCTCTCGTTTTATTGGGTTTTATGAGTGCCCTCCTCAACAGCTCCTTGGCTTTGGGCCTTCAGTATAGGTTCTTCGCGTCGCGGTTAATTTCACCGTCCTCCTCTCGCGCGAATTTTTGGTGTTTTTTGCGGCACATCGGTGTCAAATGCGCATCTAAACCGAGGTTCGCTCGCACTCTGTTTCTGACTTTTGTATCGCGAGTGGTTTCTTTACATTGAATGCTGAGAGAATACGTATTTTTTCTCTGCTTGTCATTTTATTCTGAAAATTGAAAACATTGTGTTTTTATGCTCGCAGTAATACAAGCGTATCAAAATCATATTAAGTTTACCTGACCAACAACTGCGGAAAATGATTTCAACTCGCGTACCTAAAATAAATAATCGAATAAAATTTTAAAATTTAATTTCCTTCCACAAATGAAGCCTTGTGCGAGTGCTCGTGCGCAACTCAAATACTGACGTTGATTTTTCGTGAAAAAAGGGGGGAACTGCCAGACAAAAATCAACTTTGAAGATATAGAGGTGCTCATAGGTGGCCTGAACCAAACAGACTTAAAGTAGTAATGATTGATTGAGGAAGGTGTGTTTCAAGAAGTCGGATTCTACAAACCTTCGGGAATTTGTCTGCCTTTTAAGTGATAGTTCCGAGTGATCGAAAGTAATGGCAACGAAACCATGCTTACGCGATGGCGTGGAGCCAGTGGAGATCTCATCGTACCCTTCCTATGCCACGGACCTCCGCGAAAGTGGGAAGCCCGCTCATCATGGGATCGCCAAGTCCTTGAAATTTGGCGTGGACAGGATTCTTTCTGACGAAATATCTGCCTGGAAGTGCTCAAAAATCCCGGAAACAGGTGACGTCCTAGGTCAATTTTCTTCAGGATTCGAGGAATTACACTGAAAAAAAAGGTGCTTGGCTCAAGCTTGGTGATTCTTGAATTTGCCACCTGACTTTTTTTATCTTCATTTAAGCTGGATTTTTCTTGATACAAGAAAAATAATGCTTGTAGGCAAGGAAGTTGCTTATATTAAGCAGAAAAATTCTTGATTTGAGAACAAATACTTGGCGGCAAATTTAAGATTCTTTTTTTTTCAGTGTAACAGTGGCTTATTGAAGGTGATTTAACGGTTGCCATCAGGCTCGTCACATCCCATCTCGGGCCCTGCTACCAGTTTTAAGGTCCGAGCCCCAAGCCTGGAGGGGGGGGGGGTCCGAGGGGCATCCCCCGAGAAATTTTAAAATTTATACGACTAATCGGACGCATTTTGAAGCTTCCATAAAGAATTTTTCCATCAATTTCTGCGGAATAATTATGTTTTGTTTTTCTACTTTCAGCACAAAATACTTGCGAGTTGTTGCATTCAAAACATCTGGAAAAATTTTATTTTTTGGGGGGGAGGGGGGGAATATGATACTATTTTCAGTTTTAAGAGAGCCAGGCCCCCCTGGACTCCCTCTTCGTTTGTCTATGGCAAGGGAGTTGAGCCATGAGCCATTAAAGTCGAGGATGCCCAGACTATGGAGACTCTTAGCATCTGACGACGGAAGAAAATGAAACGCAGTTACTAAAAATATCCCTCTGTACTGAAAATCTTGAAAATAGATAGAAATTTTCCAGGAAGTATACTTCTTTGAAAATTTAAGAAGAATTCTACAGTGCCCCAGCGTGTTTCTGAAAATCTATTCACCTTTTGCGAAATTTTTAGGGTAAATTTTTCGCTTTTTCTTACGAAACAAGGGTTGCGTGTGAATTCGTAGTGGTTTTTCACGGGTAACACGGGCCCCCTCCGGTGCCCGGGCCCCGGTAACAGGGACCCAGTATCCCCCCCTTGTGGCGGGCCTGCCTTCATGCACGCTGGGCTTGTCGATTTCCTTTGACATTTTTGCAGTGGTGAATGCATAGCTGGAGTGCGCTACAGCTAGAATTGTATTTACAAATGGGTGGTTTTTCTACGAGGATTAAAAATAAACGAGTGGTACGGAATATAACAAAAGAACATGAACTATGCAAAACGGTAATCCGGGTATCGGAACTAAGCTGTTTTAAAAACGCCTTCAAATGCGGCGTGATACCTCACGCATTCCGGAGAGTTCAAATAGTTGTATCATTGCGCCGTAAGAATGTGACGGAAGATTTAAATGGAAATAGCCTCCATGCACGCTGGGCTTGTCGATTTCCTTTGACATTTTTGCAGTGGTGAATGCATGGCTGAAGTGCGCTCCAACTAGAATTGTATTTACAAATGGGTGGTTTTTCTACGAGGATTAAAAATAAACGAGTGGTACGGAATATAACAAAAGAACATGAACTATGCAAAACGGTAATCCGGGTATCGGAACTAAGCTGTTTTAAAAACGCCTTCAAATGCGGCGTGATACCTCACGCATTCCGGAGAGTTCAAATAGTTGTATCATTGCGCCGTATGAATGTGACGGAAGATTTAAGATTTAAAAGCTGTATAGCACACTTTGTGAGGTTGCAGAGCTTTTGTGGACATCTCACCCTCAGTTTTTGAAAGCTTAAATTGAGAGAACTCTCTCCAGTTATTTCTACACGTAAATAATAAAAAAAAAAAAAATGCTGAGAAAACTCTCCCGTCGAACTTCTTAATATATCGACGGTGAAAGTCGGCAATCGCATAACTCGTTTGCGGTGTCTGAAAATCTCCGCCTCTACGTCATTTTTTTAAAGGAGAACAAATTGATATTATTTCTTGAAGTTTTTGCAGAATTTTCTTCGCATTGAGAAGAAAAACCATGACAGTTTTAAAGAATTGCCGTTGAGTAGTTTTCCATTTAAAAAATAAAGTACACTGTTAAAAATCGTTGATTCCGTCCGACGGAAAATCCGGAGTGAGAATGAACACGGGAGTGCGGTTCAGCGCGTAGGTGCTGAGAGGGGCTGCATGTGAAGTCAAAGCACTCCGCACCGGAGCTGCAGTACGGCCCGGAGTCACGCGCATCTTCTCTCCCTCGCACTAGCGCTATATACTGTCTCTCCTCCCCTTTAAGCCTACCACTCTCAGAATGAAAAGGAAAAATTTAAAGAGAAAAAAATAGAAAAAATAATAGAATAGTGGAAATAATAGAATAGTCGAAATTATGGTATAACAGAGACAAAAGAAAAGAAATAAAATAAAGTAAATCAAATATATGATAAAATGAAGTCAAAGACTAAAT